CAATCTTTTTTTGTTAACCTTGCCTTATACACAGAGGCATTGTTGTGTTAGAATAGAAAAGGGTCCTGTTCAAACTATTGGTATAAAATTAGAAGCACACAATTCCCTAGAATATCATTATTGTTTATTGCTAAGTTTAGTGTGTCAAAATAGAAGTGCAGCCGTAATTCGCGTGCAGTGTATCTGGTTATGCTCTATGTAATCAGAGTGTGAATTTGTAGATTTTCTATAGCAAAACTAAAATGTGTTTAAAAGTGCGACTGACCAAATCCTCCGGCTAGGTTTGCCCCCCCTCGAACTCGAAGACATCTTTAATTTGACAGTTTACTATCTGATCTCACTCAGTGACTCTAGGTTACGCAGGACGGGACGAAACCATGCAGTGAATGGGGGGGAGATAATTTTTTCGGAAATGCAGAAATAAGCCATTTTGTTTTATTTGTAATTCTTTGGTAGATACATTTATAATTTCTATTAAATTACTACTACTACTGTTACTACTAATAAAACAGATCTCTGGGGGCCCCAAAAGTGCGTGGGCCCTTAGAATCGTCCTAACTTTCCCCCCCTTAGCAGCGCCCCTGACTGCAGTGTCTGAAACCCCCTAAACAGAACGGCAGTACTGAATGTCTCCATGGTTTCCTGTTTCTGTGCAGCTTGGCTTTCCAGCTCAGTCAACTGCTCCAGGGTGGTGTCCAGAGCTGAACGCAACTGTCCAGATGCATGTTTTGTCCGTTTCCCCTGCGTGAGGGACACTTTGGCATCCTGTCATGAATAACAGCAGAACAGGGCTTTCAGTTCCCGCTTCAGTCCAGGCTCCTCGAGGCAATGCAGTGTTTATACACATCTTGGGGTTTAGGGATTTGATTGGACAAAATTGCCTTTCAAAGTTCTGTTATACACAACATCTATAACCACAAAAAATGTTACTGAATGACTGGGAGAAAAGTATTTCTTGTTTGCATCATTCGGACAGAGAAGCTTCAGCTAAACAGGACTGACAAATATAACAGCGTAGCCTACTTTAGCCACTGCATCTGCAGCCTCCTCGGCTTTTTTAGCTGTGCTGCTCGCAGCCGTAGCATTCTCCACTGCAGGCTTGATCATTCTCTCGGTCTGCTTAATTCTTTTTTTCACATCCATCAGGGTCTTTTCTTTCAGCATCTTCTCTCTCTTCAGATATCCTTTGCTATATGTGGACAGTTGAGGCCAGTCCTGCTTCATGTCTACAGCAGAGAACATCTTTACAATGTAGAGTACATTATCACAACATTGTCACATTTTATGTACTATCATTCAAAAGTTTGATTAAGAAGTAAGATTTCGAAGTCTCTTATGCTCACCAAGGCTGCATTTATTTGATCAAAATAAAGTAAAAACAGTAAAATGTGAAATATTATTACAATAAAAAAGCAATTTATTCCTGTGATGGCAAAGCTGAATTTTCAGCATCATTACTCCAGTCTTCAGTGTCACATGATCCTTCAGAAATTATTCTAATATGCTGATTTGTTGCTCAAGAAGCATTTATTAGTATTATCAAAGTTGAAAACAGTTGTGCTGCTTAATATTTTTGTGTAAACCATAATACATTTTTTCAGGACCCTTTGATGAATAGAAAGTTCAAAAGAACAGCATTTAGTTGAAATAGAAAATGTAAGATTATAAATTTCTTTACTGTCACTTTAATGCTATATATATATATATATATATATACTGCATATATATATGCACTACCAGTCAAATGTTTGGGATCAGAACGATTTTTAATGTTTTTT